GTGTCCCTAATGTTAAAGTCAAATCGGTTACGCTAGCGCCATCTGTTTCCTTGTATTTTAGTAGCTAGGCTTTTACAAAACTGACTCATAAGCTTTCATTTACTGCGCTGACTAAATTGATAGTAGGTTTCAGAAAGTACTCTAAGATAAATATATTTGTACACAACCGATTATCGAACTCCTGATCTCACGAAGGTAACTCAGGAGCTTATATCATTAAACAACAGTTAAGTTACAAGAATCAGTAACCGTTAAATATTACGATTACAATCTCTTTTGTACTCTGAGCTTAACACAGCAATAAGTTGTAAACGGGGTTGTAGAAAAGATCGTGAAACGCTGACTCTACGTGATTTTTACGTGACACGTAAAACGTAAGATTAAATACGGGGATAAAGCGACGCGGATGTGTTAACGGGTGATGGGTTTAATTTTTAAACGAGTTGATTGGTTACCACGATATTCTTGATTATCGAGTTACGGGTAAAATGTCGCAACGGATTGGCTGTGACGTATGGAGAGGTTCGCTTAAAATTTAGTAAGAATAATTGTATAATGCATCTTTATTTAAACTAGCATTGTATTAAGCGTGACCTATCCAAGAGGCAAATCCGAAAATCAAATAGATATTTCATTGGTTCTTGTGAAATACTGTCTATAGTTTACGCGAGTAGTACACATTTAAAAAAAACACTTTAACGGTTTAAAACGCGATATATTAGTTAAACTTATTTGAAAATGATTTTTTTTAATAATTTTCAAATAAGTTAAACTAACAGCCGCGTTCTAACCCGTTACCAAGTGTTTCATTTAAACCTCGCCGATATATAGTTTAAAAATTAATTTTCAATTAATTTAAACTAATATATCGCGTTTTAACCCGTTAAAGTGTTTTATTTAAATGGTTCTTGTGAGTTTATCTAAACCGTTTTTGCAGCGGATGCAACTAAAATCCTCAAAGGTGAATATTTTGCCCCGATTTGTCACATTTCTCTCTGTTCCTTCGCTCTTATTTGTGGCAGCTCTCTTATAGATCATATATCTTCGATAAATGCTCTAATCAAAGCAAAAACACATTTTCAATTTGAACCAGTAGTTCCTGAGATAAACCGCGTTCAAACAAACACACAAACTTAACTTTCTATATTAGTATAGATAAATTAGTTAGTTGTATAGATAATACTTTACACAAAGCAATACTTAAAACAAGGTCGATATTTCCGTGCCCCTGTCTATCTCAATAATACAAAACTTTGACCCGCAAAAAAACCCGCAACGGCTGTTACGCGGCTCAAGTACTTTTGAACGCGAAGTGAATATCCTTCAAAAGTGAGAACTCAATGAATTGTCGATCCCACTTCTCCCGGGGGAGTCTTAAGAACAATTAAGGGCACCCCACACCTCGTCTTCCAGTTACGGCCCGTAATTACGGCGTTGAGTTGCGAAGATTTTACGCACTTGGACTTTCGGTGCGTAATTTTGCGTAATTCGTGTCTGCTGGTGGCTTTATTGTTGTGTTAGCTTTTATAATGGCGGCGTGTCATACGTATTTATCTTTAGCACTGTGACTCTGCACGTATGTAAATAAATCTCAAAAAACAAGCACTAGAATAATTTTATCTTATTTCTATGATAGAGTGAAATGACCCTGACATACGACATCTAAGCTCTCTCAATCTATTTTGGCGTAGATTCGGAAACCCATAGGCTGAAATCGAAACACTATAAAACGTTTTTTATTTGTCGACGGTGGCTTTACCCGAGCGACATAGCGATATTCCTACTCATTTAATATCCAGATATCCAAACAAAGTTCGACATGTTTAAGTAAAATTATGAATTAATTACAAGCATCTTGGACCCGATAAGGATTTAACCCATGATCCTTCAAAAAACTTCTAAAAGATATATAAAAATACTTAAAATGTATACAAATTATATGTTTGTTATTCAACCTATATGTATGTACTAAATACTCATACATAAAAACGCCTTACTTCTTCATCATACGTTATTCATGTGCAAAGAAAACATCAGAAACGTCGAAACAAGAAATAAAACATCAAACGAACAACAAAAGGGGCATCTTAAAAAATCTGCTACCGAAGATGGAGGACTAACGAGGGCCGCGGACTCTGATTTCCAATTCAAAGGAAAATTGCGATCCATAACCGAGTGGGGGGCACGTGGGGTGGCCCCCTCCCGTTGCTACGCGACGCGGGGAGGAGTCCCGCAATCACGGCCAATCGCGCGACAGATATAAATTGGTCCGAACGATCGGACCTCTCTGTCGCACTAATGAAGTCGGGACCCCCTGATTGAAGGCCCTGTAAGGCTGTACCTAATTGTTAGGTATCGAAGTCGTGATTTGTTACTCGGAGGATGGAGGGGCTTTGGCCGTGGCACGAGTGGGTCTTCAGAGGTCTTAATCGCACGTTAGGCTCTACGAGATCATTAAATACATTATATGACCCTTTAATAGTGTCCTACTGGCTCGTTGACAGCAATGTATGGCTGTCTAAAGTTATATTATACGCGAGTAGTACACATTTAAATAAAACATTTTAACGGTTTAAAACGCGATATATTAGTTAAACTTGTTTCCAAATAAGTTTACTAATGATCAACGTGCCGTGGGTTCTATCCCCACCGGGTCATCCATTTCCTGAACATCTGGATATTAAATGGGTGATAGGAATATGGAAATTCGGTCTGAGACACGAATCACCGTCATTGGAGTCTATCAAGTGGACCCAATGCTACCACCTACATTACTTATTAAAAAACCATACTTTTTTATTATTAAATGCGTATTAAACCGTTAAATTTTTTATTTAATTTAAGTGGTATTGTTCATTGTGTCTCTTCCGGACAATTTTACTGTCTTTTAGGTACATGGAAACGAAGTAGCAATAACAAACATATAAGACAAATCTATCGTTCAGAAATCTATACTTCTCGAGCAATAGAGACGATATTAAATTCCATACCCGGAATCACGATACATAAACTCCTAATAGCCGGGTATAACCGGGTATATATACGGGCGATAAATTGTCCGGGCGGTTCTTCCACGCATCCGTAATGCGGCCCCGACTTGGCACAGATTACGCCGCCGTGTATTAATACGTGAACGTGCTCGGACGTAGATATGTTTAGGGTTGCCAACTAATAAAATTAACAATTAAATAATATTACAACCCTTTGAAAACATAGAAAATCTTTTACTGACCGGATCTTGCGTCATTGAGAGTTTATCAGCTAAGTTACATTACGTATACAATTTTGACAATAAGTATACAACTTACGGTCAAATACCAAGGATTTATGTATATCAGTTTGTAGTTAACGTAAGTAGTACACATTCAAATAAAACCATTTTAACGGTTTAAAACGCGAAATGTTTCAGTGGAACTTATTTACAAATTGTTTTACATATGGTCCGACGTTTCGGATGCTCTGCAACAGTTGAGGTCACGGAGGGGACTTTTATACGGGGGGGAAGTAATAAATTTAATTAATACATTTCGTTTTAAACTGATAAAAGTGTTTTATTGAAATATACCTGTGACTCTGACGATAAACGATGAGGCTATCCATCTTTTACTATGGCTTATGGTTAGGCTTTTTTTTGTCAGCGTATCAACCTATGACTAATCAATTATGCATATACAATTAGTATTGCTTTAATTGTAAATCATTGTGCGAATACAAAAATACAGTCATAAAAGTACAATTTTAATACGTAAAATTTCGGTTTTTCCCGTTAGAATGATAACCGTAGGTTTTTCTACGTTTTAATTAGTGGTCCGTATTAATTGCGGTAAAATATTTTTGCGATAGTCTTGGTCATATTATGGTATTTTATATACTCTAGTATCTATTGATTACCAAACTTTTACAAAAAAAATCTTACTATACATATATATTACTAAAGTTGATAGCAGTAGAGAAGTAAAACATAAAAAAGCAACAATTGTATAGACTGCATTTGAAATTGGAAGATAAGAAAGGCTAGACTATAAACAACAATCACGCAATAATTGCAACAAGGCAATCATGAACAATTTTGTTTCTTACTCTTACTGACTACTCACTCACTACTTATATAAGAATTAAATGAAATTCATGAACACTTCAGTGTCAGTTCCCCTGAACGGTTTTATTTACAGGATTCGAATTTCCCAAGACCACTCGCGCGTAAAGGCAACAATTTTAACCATTTGCCTAGAGGAGGTCCAGTACATATAGTAAACTAGGATAAAAGGATAAATTTAAAATGGCTATTCGTTATTTCATTTCTAACATTTTTCTATCACAATAATGTGAGGGAGCCGTCTCCACCTATTTTCCGGGTTTCCTTTTTCCTTTTTGGAATTTTTTCCGCCCCATTTTTTTTTTTTTTTTTTTTTTTTTTTTTTTTTTTTTTTTTTTTTTTTTTTTTTTTTTTTTTTTTTTTTTTTTTTTTTTCCACCGAGCCATTTCGACTGATCTACTCAGCCATTGACACCTACGGTATTAATTGCTGGCAACCCTGCACCCTCCGCCCACATCGACGGATCGATAACCGGATATCCGGAGCGCGGATAATCCCGACCGTTTTATTGGAACACCATTTCTGATAACGGTTAATTATTTTTACTTAAAGTGTAAAAGAGGGGATGACGTATATCACTTTTCATCTAAAACTGGATCTCCTTGGAAAGCAAATGTGTAACTAATTGGTCTCATAACAAAATAATTTTATTATGTGGTTTTACGTTAACTATCGTAGATTAAATAGTGTCTATAGTTTACGCGAGTAGTGCACTTTTAAATTAAACAATTTTATGGTTCAAAACGCGAAATATACTAGTTAACCTTATTTGAAAATTATTTCAACTACGGCCCGACGTTTCGATTGCTTTGCAGCAGCCGTGGTTACGAGAAAGTTATTTAAAAATAAGAGATAGAGAATAAGAAGAGAAGAAGAGATAAAATTGTACTTTCTTTGTCCCCAGGCGAGAAACCCCACAAATGCCAAGTGTGCGGAAAAGCCTTCAGCCAGTCATCAAACCTAATAACACATTCGCGAAAACACACCGGTTTCAAACCGTTCGCGTGTGAGCTCTGTGGTCGCGCGTTTCAACGTAAGGTGGATCTCCGAAGGCATAGAGAGACTCAACATGCGGACCTTCGCAATGCGCAGCATATGCCACCGCATACGGACGTGCATGCCATGCACCCCGATATGCATGTGCCGGATCATAGAATCGGTAAGTGTTATCTTTTTTCCGAATATCCAAAGTCAAAATAGGTCGACGGGGCATCTTGCTAAGATGTTATATGGCTGGCGTGTTTCACCTACCATCAAGTGAAAAAAAAACTGTAATTAGTAAAAGCATATGTTCTTGGTTTTAGATTACCCATCCTTACACTTACTGATATTGTTAAAGTAATCTAATTTACTTTCCTTGTCAACAGATCTTCGCCCAACTCACCCTGACATCCGGCCCGACTACCGGAGTCTCAGTACCGCAGTCCCACCTCTTCAGCCATTACCTTCTTGAAGCTCAACAGCCTTCGCGCCGTGGCGCTAAGGCTCTATTCCCTAGAATAATACCAAAGACATTTTGTGATTCAGGTCGATAGTGATGCTATGCGAAGCTATAAATCAGGTACAAAATATTGATAAATTTTAAACTTCGAATAATTTAAAGCTCTATAAATAACAATAAGGGTTAAAACTACAAGGATTTAATAGCTCTCTTTAGCGTCACTATTTGAGACAAACCTACCTTGACAAAATACTATAATGAAATTTAAAAAAAATGTTTTTCCTTTTAAATACTCACACTATTTTTTCTATTATTTTCTAATCATGAAACATCAATTAATTCGTTTTTTGCTGAGAAATACTTTATTTTTAATAAAATTTAGTTTACCTGCGAGGTATGTTACCATTAAATATTTAATTAAATTAGATATTGTATTCAGGAGTATTTGATCTCAAATTTAAGACAAAATACGTATTTTCAATGTTAAAAATTATTATTTAAGTTAAAAAATGCATTCCCTTACTGCGTTCCAATTGTGGCTAATAATAGAGCAAATACCTAATTAACGTATCTTTTTCAATGTATTAATTAAAATATTTTCTTAAATTTCATAAATAATTGAATTTACGGACTGATTAAGTCATTCCAATCCATACGCTTCATTCCAATTTCTTTAGTGTCTAGATTAAATAACAAGTTACATTACGATCACAAAATCCCTTATCGATATGTTTACTTTCCATTTTAAACCAAGCCAAATGTTATTTTTATTTACACATATCATAAATATGTAATAAAAGAATATTTAATTGTTATAACTTTGTAAATATCGAGTATTAATTGTACAACGCAAAATTATGTATACGTCGTCTTAGATATATTATGTATATTTACCAACACATATTAGGGTAATTGCTTCTCTGTATATTCAAATGTGAATCCGAATGCCAAAGATTTTATGTACAAAACACAAAATAGTTTAAACCTTTATCTTTCACAGTTAACCTTAAACAACTCGGTTTTTCCCACAAATTATACCAAAACAATTTACTAAAAATAATCCAAACTAGTGAATTAATAATTGCCTGCTGTGAAACGAAAGCGTTAATTTGCGTTTTAAACCGTTTACACGACTCTTTTTATATTTACAATGTATCAACTAGAGAAAATAAATACCGTTTCCAATTAAATGTACATATTGCACTTTTACACTAAGTATTTCTTTATTGTTACTATTGTCAAAGTACAATAATTTCCTAATTGTTTTAGCTGTAAGTTAGAATAAGTGTCATCGCACACAGACAAGCGACATCGCCAGTCGTACCCATACATATATTATTGCCTCGCCGACATTAAAACACAACAGTCTACAAATTACAAAGCATAAACTGTAAAAACATTCGAGTTTGAAAAATTGGTAACTCAAATTCAAAAATACAACAGCATATTTCCATTGCCATTAAAATTGACGTACAGTCATACATTAAATTAACTTGTAGATGTCACAAGACACTGTTGGTCGTGGATTTGAGACATTGTCATCGATGTTTTATATCTTAAATTCTCTTTCTATTTAAACAAGCTGCTATGTGACTTAACATGTGAAATTTATAAAGATAACGCAAAAAAACACTAGCAACTTTTTGCAGATGTTCTCTAGTGCCCAATGTGCGACGACCCTAAGCATTCTCGCGAGATTTTAGTTGTTATAAATGTATATAATGTATAGTTATAAACGGTTCCAAAGAAAATGTGCAATCATTGTGTCATAGTAACAAGTTATCACTCAAATAAACGATTATAATATATTTATTGTGGTTTTATTAGTATTTTACGAAAATCGAGAGAGATATTTGAAATCTTCAACTGAAAGCTTACTTATTTACTTACATTAAAACAAAATAGCATCAATACTATTATTGAGAACACATTCTTTTTCTTATTTTCCAATTTCAAAGTAACTTTCAGATTCAAATACAAAACTTATTTACTTGGTCGTATTTTTATGATGATACCTAGAGACCTATAGACAAACGCGGAGATCACTTGATGGTAGGTGATACACCATTCGTATAACATCTGAACCAGATGCACTCTCGATCTATTTTGGCTTAAGAATATTCAGATTAGATTTATCGATATTAAATTGTTATTTATATCCCAATATGCAGATAAAGAATTATTAATCAATTAATATACATATCTCTTAAAGTCAAAATTAAATACAAAGATAAAACTTGTTTTAAGTTTTCTAGATGTTCTAGACTAAGGTAATACAGATAGGCATTCTAAATCCTTAAATAGCTTTAACTTTAATTGAAACATCTATATGGCTGGATGCATTTAAAATCTACTACACGAAAGTGGTACAATTATTAGAAACACAAACAATTATCGCAAATTATTTCGAAAGCAATCAGCTAGATTCGCTCCGTTGTTTGTCGACGTTCAATATTGTTTACTGAGCGATGATGGATTTTTCATTAATATAATGGATTTATACTTTATCGACGTGCGCCATTTTTAAATTGCTAACAGGCCATAGAAAATACAAACAAACATAGAGTTCAAAGAGTATAGGTAACGTCCGGGACTCAAATCCAGACCCTCAATTGAGTAAGTATGTATTTAAATCTATACTAATATAAAGCTGAAGAGTTTGAGACTACAGATTTTTTTTGTGTCTGTTAAAGCATTTATCGAGAAAGGTTATAACACAACACGCTGTTACTAACAGGACCGAAGAAAAAGCGGAAAAACGTGAAAAATATATATTCTCTGTGGGTTTCGGACGCGTACGCAGCGAAATCGGTTCAAGATACCGTATGAAAAAATGATTCCTCTTTAAATTATGTAAAAAAAAGGCCGCAACACTATATGTCTATCTTTTACAATTAATAAGAACAACGGGACGCGTCCTACATCGTGGTTAATAGTGTAAAAAGGAGTTTAAATAAAACCCTTTAACGGTTTAAAACGCGATATATTAGTTAAACTTATTTGAAAATGATTTTTAACTTTTAATATATCGCGTTTTAAACTGTTAAAGTGTTTTATTTAAATGTGTACTAACTCGCGTAAACTATAGAGTATAGACAGTATTTGATAAAAAGGAGGTATGAAAAACCAAATTTGCGTGCCAAAATTACTATTCTACGCCGATGAAGTTACTGACACAGCTAGTTTAATTATATATGGTCTATGCTACAACAGAAATACGTCCCTGTAGAGAGTAATATTTACATTAATAAATAATTGTCTACAAGTTAGGCACAGTTAAAAAAAATAGATTGTAAGATTAACGAAAAACAAAAGTAAAAATGTAGGTTCCACCGAGATTTGAACTCGGATCGCTGGATTCAAAGTCCAGAGTGCTAACCATTACACCATGGAACCGTGATAATTAGTAATTAAAAACTCGTTGATAGTTACAAACATACATTGTATATTTATACAACTGTTTTTACACTCTCTTCATCGAGTATTGATATATGACAGGAAATAATTATCTTGTATGTTATACTTTTTGTTAACTATATTTTTTTGTATATTAAAACATACATATAGTTTAATTTTAAATAAAGAATAACATAATTACTTAGTTAAATAGATATATAGAGTCTCTTCGAGTTATTTGTATTGTTTAGATATATTTTAATGGTATTTTTTTCTTCTAGTATCACGGGTATGTAAACGAGACTCTTTCCTCTGTGTGAGGCATATTTGATTTCTACGTTTGATTTCACTGACCTGTCTTCAATTACAGAATGCGATCAACGAAGCTACACTTTAAAATAAAACAATTTAACGGTTAAAAACGCGATAATTTTAATTAAACTTCTTTGAAAATTATTTTTAACCACGGCTTGACGTTTTTGATGCTTTGCAGCAGCCGTTGTCACGGGGAGACTCACACAGTAACAAGTTTAACTAAAATATATTCCCTTAAAGTGTTTTATTTAAATGTGTACTACCCGCGCGTAATTTACAGGCAGAAACTATATTTCTTCGAAATTCGAACCCAATACACGCTTGACGCAATGCGCTTAACAATTCAACTGTGGAGGCGGTTTTTCTATTATATGATATAAAAAGAAAATGAAATTAGGAACCGTCACGAACAAGCAACAAAAGATTTTATTTTCTCCGAAGCATCCGTCACTTTATTCTATCACATAGTAAACTATTTGATTACAGCTTTTCGGCGAACTGAAATAGATTTGGAAAAGCTGGACCTTTGTCTCTGGGGCCACTGCGTTAAACGCTTGTTATCACGCGTTCCAGGGACGGATTGATGACAAAAATACATAATACAAAAGGTGAGAGAATTGAGCAATATTTTAAAAAGATAGGATTATTTATGGAGAGCGTTCTCGCCAGACAGTATATAATTTTCAATCAAAGTACGATGTAAATCCAAACTTAATAAATATGAAATCAGCCACGAATGCCGTTCAATAATATTATTTTTTTTAAAGTCTTGCACATTATTAAAATACTTATTTTGATGTGCTAATCGCAGAAATATACAAAGTAAAGGTATATTAACAAACAAGCAACCGTTATTATTTTTCTTGGATATTTGATGAAAAAATTAAAGGTTCCACCGAGATTTGAACTCGGATCGCTGGATTCAAAGTCCAGAGTGCTAACCATTACACCATGGAACCGTTACAATTGGTTGTTAAAAGATCTATCAAGAAATTTAATTATTTACACTAATTACTGCCCGATTCGATATGTTAACACAAGTGTTTTTTTGAACACGTACAAATTATCAATATAGAGTTAAACAAACAGGTGGTCTAATAAAGAAAATTGGTACCTAAGGCAGATTATTTCAACAATTTATTGCATTTGACATCGAGCTAAAAAAAGAAATTTTATTTTTTAATTATACAAGTTGGTAGAAAACTTTGCTTAAATTTGTTTCAGTATTAATTAGTAGGAGAGTTATTAATTAACGCCAACAAAAATACATTTATGAAAATGTGCCAATGCCTATCCATATA